GGTTTAGGCCAAGCTCTGTTGTTAATATTTAGGTATTTGCAGTCCTCGGAGGTGATTGGGGAGGTTGTTTTGCCTCAACAAAAACCCTTAAAATCCAATGCAACGTTAGAATACTTTCTAAGCTGCTCCTCTTTCATATCTGACTAGTGACTGTAGCCTGACATCCTTGCGCAAGACATTGGCCTGTGCATAAAGCTAAAACAGAGGAATACATGGAGGTCAGTTGCCTGTGTTTTTTATCCTAATGGAGTCATTTCACTGTGAGGACTCCGCATGTCTCTTGCATAGACAGAACTCCAAGGCAACAGTGGGCAGCAGTAAAATGCTTCGAGTTCCTTGGGACTTTGGCAATATCCTGGCCTGCATGGTAAATAGCCTGCATTTTTGCCTGGACTGAAGGCCCAATGACTGTTTCAAGATCTAATAGTTTGCAAGCCATTAGGTGTTGAGGTGGCTGTTATAGGCCATTGGAAAGCTGGGACTCATGGCTTTCCAAGGACACTTCACATGCCAATGAGGAGTCAACAACCAAAGTTGTATAGAGGAAGATGAAGACACACAAGGAAGCTTGTTTAACTTCAGTGGGCAATTGTAGGACCTCTTGAATGTGGGAAATAGGAAATTATTAGCATGTCAGCAGCAGCGTGGAATTCAAACAGCGTATCAGACATTTTTCCTAGGAGAGGCTATCACAGACGAGATATTAAAGTTAATCTTCTAACTTTTCTTTGCTACATTTTTAGTTAGTTAAAGGTCAATGATAAAAGTATTGGGCAAAAAAAAAAATAATGCAGTACATTAGGTGACAAGCTTGCTATAAGACCTCATGTTTTGTGACTTATCAGGGCAGAGAAGCACATTGACAGACTAATACAGATGCTTTCAGGACCTTTTCTAAGCATGTGTCCCAGGCAGCACCTGCCCCATCTGCCATTACAGAGTGGAAAGATGAGGAGGCTGGGGGTCTTTTCCCATACACTAGGGAGAAAGGATTGGTGTCTGCCAGAACTGGGGGTTTGGAAGCAGGTCCACTGTGGCCTCTGTTTGTAGCGCAGCATTCTGGCCTGCAATCCAGCCACTGAGTCCCTCCCCCCCACACAGCGATGTTGCTGTGTCTGTTCCCAATGCAGGTGTTGAAGATTTGGAAATTCAGCTGATGTAAATCAACACAGCTCCACTGACTTCAGTGGAGCTATGGTGGTTTACACCAGTGGAGATCTGGCCCTCAGTACACAATACAGTAACTCCTCACTTAACGTCGTCGTCCTGGTTAACGTTGTTTCGTTGTTACATCACTGATCTATTAGAGAACATACTTGTTTAAAGTTGCGCAATGCTCCCTTATAACGTTGTTTGGCAGCCGCCTGCTTTGTCCGCTGCTTGTAGGAAGAGCAGCCCATTGGAGCAAGTGGTGGGGGCTTGGAACCAAGGTGGACCAGCAGCTCCCCTATCAGCTCCCCTAAGTTTCCCAGCAGGCTCCTGTTTGCTGTGAAGAGGGAGGGAATAGGGGTGCTAATGTCATGGTGTCCCCCTGCCCTCACTCCTGTACCGCATTTCCACAGGAAGGGGGGCAAGACACAACAGGGCTCAGGATGGAGGGAGCTTGCTGGCAGCAGCTGCTGTCTCAACTTGCTGATCTAGTGAAAAAGGCAATGTACTTAAACTCGGGTCAGTGTACTTAAAGGGGCAATGTGTGTCTCCCTCTCACACACACAGGGTGTGTGTGTGGGTGTGTCTCACGTGCGCGTGCACACACACACACACACACACACACACACACACGGTGTGTGTCTCTCTCTGCCATGCTGTGTCTCCTCCCTCCATTAGTGCTGGCTTGTAGAGTGTGAGGCTACATTAACAACAATGTGTTAATCCTTGAGGGCTCAGCCGAGTACTAGTTCATCATTTAGCAGTAAGGCATTCCCTGAGAAATATTCAGCCAATCGCTCAGACAAACAGGTTTGTTTACATTTGCAGGAGATAATGCTACCTGCTTCTTGTTTACAATGTCATCTGAAAGTGAGAACAGGCATTTTCAGGGCACTGTTGTAGCCAGTATCACAAGATATTTATAGATTCATAGATTCTAGGACTGGAAGGGACCTCGAGAGGTCATCGAGTCCAGTCCCCTGCCCGCATGGCAGGACCAAATACTGTCTAGACCATCCCTGATAGACATTTATCTAACCTACTCTTAAATATCTCCAGAGATGGAGATTCCACAACCTCCCTAGGCAATTTATTCCAGTGTTTAACCACCCTGACAGTTAGGAACTTTTTCCTAATGTCCAACCTAGACCTCCCTTGCTGCAGTTTAAGCCCATTGCTTCTTGTTCTATCCTCAGAGGCTAAGGTGAACAAGTTTTCTCCCTCCTCCTTATGACACCCTTTTAGATACCTGAAAACTGCTATCATGTCCCCTCTCAGTCTTCTCTTTTCCAAACTAAACAAACCCAATTCTTTCAGCCTTGCTTCATAGGTCATGTTCTCAAGACCTTTAATCATTCTTGTTGCTCTTCTCTGGACCCTTTCCAATTTCTCCACATCTTTCTTGAAATGCGGTGCCCAGAACTGGACACAATACTCCAGCTGAGGCCTAACCAGAGCAGAGTAGAGCGGAAGAATGACTTCTCGTGTCTTGCTCACAACACACCTGTTAATACATCCCAGAATCACGTTTGCTTTTTTTGCAACAGCATCACACTGTTGACTCATATTTAGCTTGTGGTCCACTATAACCAGATGTGCCAGATGTGCTAAAGATTCATATGTCCCTTCATGTTTCAACCACCATTCCAGGGGACATGCGTCCATGCTGATGACGGGTTCTGCTTGATAACAATCCAAAGCAGTGCAGACCAATGCATGTACATTTTCATCATCTGAGTCAGATGCCACCAGCAGAAGGTTGATTTTTCTTTTTTTGGTGTTTCCGGTTCTGTAGTTTCCACATTGGAGAGTTGCTCTTTTAAGACTTCTGAAATCATGCTCCACACCTTGTTCCTCTCAGATTTTGGAAGGCACTTCAGATTCTTAAACCTTGGGTCAAGTGCTGTAGCTATCTTTAGAAATCTCACATTGGTACCTTCTTTGTGTTTTTTGTGAAATCTGCACTGAATGTTCTTAAAATGAACAAAATGTGCTGGGTCATCATCCGAGGCTGCTATAACATGAAATATATGGCAGAATACGGGTAAAACGGAGCAGGGGACATGCAATTCTCCCCCAAGGAGTTTAGTCACAAATTTAACACATTTTTTTTAACGAGCGTCATCAGCATGGAAGCATGTTCTCTGGAATGGTAGCCAAAGCATGAAGGGGCATACAAATGTTTAGCATATCTGGCACGTAAATACCTTGCAATGCCAGCTACAAAAGTGCCACGCAAATGCCTGTTCTCGCTTTCTGGTAACATTGTAAATAAGAAGCAGGCAGCATATCTCCCCTAAATGTCAACAAATTTATTTGTCTTAGCGATTGGCCGAACAAGAAGTAGGACTGAATGGACTTGTAGGTTCTGAAGTTTTATATTTTGTTTTTGAGTGCAGTTATGTTTATAAAAAAAAAAAAATCTACATTTGTAAGTTGTACTTTCACGACAGAGATTGCACTACAGTACTTGCATGAGGTGAATTCAAAATTACTATTCCTTTTATCATTTTTACAGTGCAAATATTTGTAATAACAAATATACACTTTGATTTCAATTACAACACAATACAATACATATGAAAATCTAGAAAAAAAATCCAAAATATTAATAAATTTTAATTGGTATTTTATTGTTTAACAGTGCGATTAAAACTGTGATTAATTACAATTAATTTTTTTGAGTTAATCGCATGAGTTAACTGTGATTAATCGACAGCCCTACTACAAACATGACATCATTTAAAAAAAGCTGAGATTCTTGTATCTCTTGATGAATCCAGGAGCTGGGGGTTTAAGAAACTCCAAATATCATGAGGCTCACATTAACATCATAAGAGTTGGCAACACTGCAAAGTTTTATAGTTGGGGAGGGGCTGATGGAACCCAGCAGAGAGCAGGGGTAAATGTGGATTTAGTGAAATTTGCGCACAGGATGTGCTTTAGTTAACGGAAATCTTTTCTTCCACCGCATCCTTGTGAGAATCAGTATTAATATATTAACCTTTCCTGTTCCCTGCATTCTTCCCAAAGCTAACAGCTTCCCAATTGCGTCTGGTATCTCTCGCACCGATCTCCAAGCCACCCATGCTAGGAATTGCTGACATGCACCAAGTTCCTTTCTCTCCTCCTTCATAATAGTTCTGAAAATTTAGCTGTTCCAAGGAGCATCCCCTCAACAATGACCATGTGCCACTTTGCTTGATCACTCTACTGTAACTATTTGTGCCTTTAGATTGTAAGATCTTTGCATCAGGGACTCTGCCTAGCATAGGAATATTCCTATATTACATAGGGGCTCCCTGGGTCATTAAGTCCAATCCAATGCTATCACAGACAACTCTATCTTTTTAAGCCCGTTAAATAAACTTATCAAGCTCTGTCAAAACTAGCAAGGTTGTTTGTCCCCATTGGAATGCTATCCCAGAAATGCGGCAAAGGTTACCTCCTGTAAAGCACCATGTACATTTGCATCAATTTAGAAACAATAACATGTGGAAAGTTTCTGGCAAAAACCATCACCTTGCCTGAATGATATTCCAGAAACCATGTTAAGGTAGCCAAATCCAATTCAAGCCAACAAAAAATAATGGGAGAGAGGGAGCATGCTGTAGTGGCTCCTTGCCCCCTGAGACTCGTTCTTCCAGACCTATAAAGTTGCTTGGACAAGCCACTCAACCTCTCTGTAAAATAATACTTCCCTGGCTTACGGGCGCTGTGAGACTTAAGTCATTGAAGTTTGTAAGATGCTTTGGTGAAAGGCTCTATAGCAATGCCAAGTATTATTCAGAATTAAGAAAAATGATGTACTCCCTAAGCCATTAAGACTAACAAGGAATCTATCTTTGTAGGGGCAAGATGAATTCAACCAGTGACGCCAACATGGAAGAGATATCTCTGGAGGATGAGGATAGAGACACCGTGGAATACAAAGTTCTTATGGCATATGCCCAGCGACGACTCTCCGTGAGTAAATATGGGCAACTTCTGAAAAGGGAGGCGAAGACCTTGAAAGGATCGTCTACAGAGAGAGGGGAAAGGGAAGGGATCCCTCAGGCCGGTAAGGGTGAGACACACCAAGAACTGTCAATCCAGGACAAAGGGCCCACTGCCCAACGTAAAAAGCAAAAGAAGAAAAAGTTTATCTGGCGACGCCTGCTGCTTTCCTGTGCCAGAGGAGAGAGGGAGGAGGGCCCACAGGAGCTAGCCACGAACCAAGACACTGTGAATGGGTATGGCTTAAAGATGCCGATGGCACGCCAGATATCAGAAGGTGGGAGCCTGAATAGTTTCTCTGTCTCCAATCCCTTCTTCATGCTGGTTTCTATTTCTCTCTTAAATAGCTTATTGATGGCTGATAATGCTGCCTTTCTCCTTTACTTGCTAATATATTCTTTCATGCCAGCTGTGGGAATAAAATTGCCAGTCCTGCTCCCCAAACAAAAAACAGAGTAGATTCATGCTTGTAATACACCTTTTAGTCTCCAGACTCTGAACCTATACACTGGCCATGAATATCCTCCCATAATCGTACAATTGCACAGATTTGCATTTCCAAGCACTAGCTTATTGTTCCCTGAACTTGGCTAGAGAATGTAATGAAGAGTAGTTTAAAAAAAACAATAGATGTGGGCCAGACTGCAGTCTCCTATGGTAAAATCAGCAAAGAGAGGGCTGAGAGGGAATCCATCCAAGGGGTCTACTCAAGCAGTTTTCCTCATAGAATCATAGGATTGGAAGGGACCTTGAGAGGTCATCTAGTCCAGTCCCCTGCGCTCAAGGCAGGACTAAGTATTATTAGGCCATTCCTGCCAGGCGTTTGTCTAACCTGCTCTTAAAAATCTCCAGTGATGGAGATTCCATGACCTCCCTGGGCAATTTATTTGTGTTTAACCACACTGACAGTTAGGAATTTTTTCCTAATGTCCAACCTAAACCGCCCTTGCTGCAACTTAAGCCCATTGCTTCTTGTCCTATCCTCAGAGGTTCAGGAGAACAATTTTTATCCCTCCTCCTTGTAACAGACTTTTATGTACTTGAAAACTGTTATCATGTCCCCTCTGAGTCTTCTCTTCTCCAGACTAAACAAACCCAATGTTTTCAGTCTTCCCTCATAGGTCATGTTTTCTAGACCTTTAATAATTTTTGTTGCTCTTCTCTGGACTTTCTCCAATTTGTCCACATCTTTCCTCAAATGTGGCGCCTAGAACTGGACACAATACTCTAGCTGAGGCCTAATCAGTGCTGAGTCAAGAGGAAGAATTACTTCTCGTGTCTCGCTTACAATACATCCCAGAATGATGTTTGCTTTTTTTTGGCGAGTGTTACACTGTTCACTCTTATTTAGTTTGTGATCCACTATGACCCCCAGATCTTCTTCTGCAGTATCCATCCTAGGCAGTCATTTCCCATTTCCTGTGTATGCAACTGATTGTTCCTTCCTAAGTGGAGTACTTTGCATTTGTCCTTATTGAATTTCATCCTGTTTTCTTCAGACCATTTCTCTAGTTTGTTCAGATAATTTTGAATTTTAATCCTATCCCCCAAAGCACTTGCAACCCTTCCCAGCTTGGTATCATCTGCAAACTTTGTAAGTGTACTCTCTAAATAGAACTGGATGCAGAACTGATCCCTGCAGGACCCCACTCAATATGCCCTCCTAGCTTGACTGACCACTGATAACTACTCTCTGGGAACGGTTTTCCAACCAGTTATGCACCCATCTTATAGTAGCTCCATCTAGGTTGTACTTCCCTAGTTTGTTTGAGAAGGTCATGCGCTGGCTCTGCACCCCCAGTGTCCTCTGCTCCCTGGCATCATAGCTGAAATGGAAACACTGTACCAAGGCTTTTCTAACTTTTCCCACAGCAGCCACCATTACTGCAGGATCCCTCTTAAAAGGGGTTCCCTACTGAAGAGGGAGGGCAAGGTAACACAGCCCCCAGCTGGGTGCCTTCTCCTGAGGAATCTCCATGGGACCCCAGAAAGGTATGGGTCACGTTCCCAGCCCCACCCCCATCCAATGCAGGCCTACCACCTGGCCCAGGGATCCCAACCCTACAGAGAGCTCTCCATGAGGTCTTGAGAAGAGGGAACAATGCCACAGAAGTGGCTGAGCCTATCCTCCTCTGTGCAGCAGGCAGGAATGCTGCATGTAGAGGGTGCCTATCTCCACGCTCAGATTTAGGGGGCCACTCTCTGGCCCATTATCAGTGATTTATCATACACCCAGTATCCAAAGGCCATCCCTTAGATAAGGTGCTGACTGTGTCATGGCTGCTGAGACTCCACCAGGTCTCCATGGGCAACTAGCTCATGCCCTAGAGCACAAGGGTCAAGATAGGTGATAGGATGGCCTGGTTTACCAGGTACATCAACCTCTTGCAAGGTGGCCCCAGTGTTCTACTCAGAGTAAGACTTTTGTCCCAGCTTCATTATTACTGACCGAATTACCTCCTGTGATAAGTCATTGCCTTCTCCCCCCTTTGCTATCTCTACAGGGCCTCCTAAAACAACCCATAACTCACATCTCCAATCCAGTCACCCCACCAGCTTCTAAACCCTCCCAAGTATCTAGGACAAGCCACCCAACCAGTCATCCTCCCAGCTGTCAGAGCTGGTTACATCTATCGATACAAGCTCTCTGCCTACTCCTCCTACCCTTGTGGATAAGTGGGCCTAACCCGACTCTTCCATTGGCAAAAATAATTTGCCCACCTCCAGATGTCATCTCCCACCACCTACTTTTTTTTTTTTTTTTTTTTAAATTTCCTGCCCAGACATTATTAAGAAAGGTCATGCTGGCCTGTTTTAGTAATCTGACATTCCTTTCAATGTACCATAAATCAACCAGCAGGTGGCAGTGTGAACTCAACTACAAATGCTGTTTTCTTCATGTTTCCACCATCAGTACTGTAAGAGGTAGGGTTTGGTCCTAAAACCAGGCTTCACCAATACGGTAGCAGATTACTATCCCAAGCCCCAAAACAGTGAACGCACGTTTGCAGGGGAACCTGCTACTTGTAGCAATGTGGGATGCAGGCATCCTGCAGGAAAGCAGGGTGCTTGCTGGGATCATTTGTATGTCAGTCCCAGATTGTCTTCCTAGATCAGACACCAGCTCAGCTATGAACTCTGGGGCCAACATTTCCAAACCTGGGTACCTAATGTTAGGCTTCCAAATTCATGTTTAGGCAGTGGAATAAATGGCCTGATTTCTGTCCTGCACCCCCTTTTTCCTCCCCCCCCCCCCAAGGTCTGAGCACTCAGCAGCTCCCAGACAAGTTCTGCAAAATGATATAAAGGGAGCTCCTTTCAGAGCTGGATCATCCAGGAGCTGGTCTAGCTGTCTGCTGGTCGCACAGGAGCTGTCCCTTGTGGGATCAGAGTTCAGGTCCCAAGCTCCCAGGGACTGAGTGCAGGAAAGAGCAACTTCCAGTTTGGACAAGCTCAGCAGCAACATCCCGCTCAGTTGGTTGGTATGAGAGAGCCCCCGTTTGGCTGCCTGACCACACTGATGTTTATAGATCACAAAGGTCCTGGATAGAGTCTTAGCTGCAGGTGTGTGTGTGTGTATGTATGTTTAAAGGGCTCTGTTAATGGTCATGTCTACTCCAGCCTCTTGCCATACAAGACAAACACAGAGAACTCCCAGCCTGGGGGAGAGGGAGAGATTGTCTTTTATTAAAACTCATCACCACAGTGTTTTATACAATTGGGCATAGATGAACCAGCCGTTTACAATATTGCAATACAACCAGCTCTAAAAGTTGCTATCCTAAGGATAGGGTGACCAGATGTTCCGATTTTATAGGGACAATCCCAATATTTGGGGCTTTGTCTTATATAGGCACCTATCACCCCCACCCCCATCCTGATTTTTCACACTTGATGTTTGGTCACCCTACCTAAAGAGCAAAGCAATCTCATCTTCTAATGTGCAATAGTCTCCAGAGGTACAAAGGCGCGCAGTAACCCATGAACATCACATACTATCTTCTACTGGGAGAGCTACTGCTCAGATAATGGAAAAAGTTTGTGGTGTATCGTGGGTGTCTAGCATTCCCCTCCACTCCTAATTACAGCCACCTGACCCTGAAGAGCAGCAAGACTCTGTGATAGGGAAATGTGCCTTTTGCTCTTGTCCTGTTCTTCCTCCTCAGGGTTCTGTGAATGTTAATGAGTTGAGCTTGATTGAGGGACTAACCAGCAGAATTTCTTTTTTCCAGGTGAGACACAGGATTTCCTCCACGTTGCAGACAGACTTGCTAAGATAGTGAATGCCAGGTCGCACTCAGTTCCCCAGGGAATGGGTTTCAGAGCGCTAGAGCGCACTCCGAGTCTAGAGGCAGATGGTGGACAGCTCAAATTCCCTCAGCAACAGGGAGGTGAAAAAGGTAAGATTGACTGACTGAGGTAGCGCAGTGAAATTACTCAAAAACGACGAGTCCGGTGGCAGCTTAAAGACTAACAGGTTTATCTGAGCATAAGCTTTCATGGGTAAAAAAATACTTTGTCAGATGCATCAACTACTCAGTGCATGATCCTATGCTTAGAGCTACAGTCTGGATACTGTATAACTGTAATTGGGGAAGGCTTGTGCTGAAGGAACGAGCTCGTTTTCTGGTTATTCAAGTTCCAGGTACCCCTCCTACCACTGTTGTTGTTAGTTTGTGTTACAGGAGGCACTTAGAGGCACCAGCTGAGATCACAAACACTTAGTAGCACACAGTAGAGGCTAGCACAGTAGAGCCCTGCTCTCAGCTGGGGCCCCTGGGTGCTACTGTAATACAAATAATTAATAAAGCTCTTGAAAATGTTGATGTCTGAATTGAACGTGACAGAGAGCCTGGGTGGGGAAACAGAGGCACAGGTAGATGAAATGACTTGCTGAAGGCAGAGCCAGGAATAAATCCGTAGTCTTCTGCTGCCAAGCCCAGTGCCTTATTCACTGGACCACGCTGCCTTTGAGGGTTGCTGTCTCCTTCAGCAAGATGATTGCACTGACTGCATGATCCACTGGCTACACTATATATCTGGATCATTTGTTTTTCACAGTCTCAGTTGGGTTTTCTTTCTCTTTTGGTGGGAGGTTTTCAGAGCTCTCTTTTCATTCAGAGGAGGGCTGCCAGCCATGGTAGCATGTTCCTTGCTCTGCTTGTTTGGCAAGCGGACTCTCCATAGCTTGCCAGAGCTGCCACTAGCAGCTGTTGCTCCTGACTTGGGGGGTGGAGCCTTGTACTCCCACTAGCCACTTCAGGCTCTTGCCTCCAATATCAGATGCTCTTTAAAGAAAGCAAGAATAACTGAGGGATTAAACCCCAGCCTCATTCCCTGACTGGAGCAAAACTTTATACGGCATAATAAATGGCTGGAACTCGTAACGGACAAAGAACATCTCCTATTCCAGACTATGCTATAAACCTCTGCCTAAAACCTACATACAGGTCTGTCGTATAATTTTACCTGGTTCAAGCCACAAAATGGGAGTTGTTTTCTTACAAAGCGGATCATTCTCTATGTGGTGTGGACAATGAGCTAGTTCCTTTAAGTCTGCTACCTGGATCCTGCTAGGAGAAAGTAATTGTTTTTTCCCCCCCACTCCAGATGAAGAAGAGAGGATAATAGAAACGATAGTTGCATTGTTAAGACAATCAGGGGATAAACTGGAAGAAACGGTAATATATACACATATATTTTTAATGGGCATTCACCTATGTGTATGTTGCATTCACTACTGGCAAATGTATAATGAGATGATTAAGGTTGCAAAACCGTTTCATGATTTCATGAAAAACTTCCATGATTTGGACTGAGGCTTTTGTGTGCGAGGCCTCACATCTTAAAGTTTGGGCTTTAAGATTTTCACAGGCACAAAAGAAAGTAGTTGCCTGGTTCCTATTGAATTTCAGTGGGAGTTGGACATCTAACTGCCTTTTGTGCTTTTGAAAATCTCCCCTTTCAGCATTAAGCTTGGCACATGAGTAGTTCTCAGGGACAGGGACAGCCCTAGACCAAAAGGTGCCCCAGGTGAGGAGCATCTTCAGTGCCCCCTTCCTTCCAATTGTTAAACTTTTGAATGCCTTATTTTTTAATTGCATTTGTACCCCATTTCATGACTTTGGTGCACGACTTGCATGCATGATTTATCCCCATCATATAAAATGATACATTTTCACGCTAGATCTGTAAATCTGTATCTATTCATTCTGTATAAAAGCAAAGAAAAAAATTTGTTTCCTCTAAGCTTATAGAAACTTTTTAATTTTAAGAATAACGAAATGTACTAACATCAAAACCTGAAACATTTTACTTCAAACATTCTATTTTCCCTTTTGTCGCTAACAACAAAAACAGCACCTGGAGCCTGGCGCCCCCCAAGCCAGGCACCCCAAGTGGTCTCCTGGGTTGCCTGTCCCTAAATCTGGCCATGCCCGGGGAGGTTAACTCTCTCTGTGTAACTTTATAGGAGTGGAGGGGAAATCTTTTAAATTAAGAGTTAATGTATGGAAATTCTAGCCTGAGCTTGTATAAATTGCCCCCTGCATGAATTCATTAGTTGGAGCTGAGGCTGGGATTTTCAGCACTGAAAGCATAGATCTCTACCACTAACTCCTGGAGCTGGTAGTGGTGGTAGATTCTTGGCCTCTACATAGACCAACCACTAGAGGGAGGACATGTTAGATGCTGAACCAATAGGTTTCACATACACAGTCAGACACCTCACTGAGAGTACAATCCAGCACACACTTTACTCATGCAAGTAATCCTCACTGAAGTCAATGGGACTATGTGAGTAAAGTAACTCCTATGTGTAAGTTTGATAACTCTCATAGGTAAGTTTGCAGGACCAGGCTCTAAGCCTGAAAATGCAGACTTCTAGAAAAAGGTGCTCTCGTGTGTGGTCTAATAACGAATATGTTGAATGCAGACTCCATGGAGACGCGAGGGTGGATTTCACTTTTCCAAGCACTAGATTCCCCCTCAGAAAAACTCTGTATTTATGACAATGGCTTTAATGATTAATAGTTATCCTCCTCTTTCAGATAAAAAAGGACAAAACTTTCTATCGCTGTGTCACAAAGATGCTCTCCTATGCCTTCTTCAAGAAACTCACTGATCAGTACCTGGAGGAAGTCCCAGGAGATTCTACCAAGGAGACAGAAGGCAAAATACAGTGCACTAAAGCTGCCTTTGTGATGGAAGTTACGACCAGACTTACAGCCGTGGACAACCATCCTATGAACATGGTCCTGGGGTTTGGAATAAAGTACCTCAAAGAACATTTTAGCCCTTGGATTCAGAACCATGGTGGATGGGTATGAGATTTGTTTCCTTAGAATGATAGGCTAGCACACATATATGCAATGAACATCCTTTTGGATAGAAAACAGATGTTAGAAAATTGTACTGCTTAAATATCTTTTAGAGGATGAGAGTGGTCAGGAACTATATTACATGGCATAACAGACTCTTACTTGTGATCCCCTGACACCAGACATCTCAGTCTTTGTACATAAAGGCCCAGATCCCCATTGAAATCTGTGGAAGTTAGGAGCCTATATACCTTTGAGGATCTGGGACACAGTCCTTTAACCCTGTAATGTGACCCACTAGCATGGCCTCCTTTGACCAGGCAGAGTCCCAGTTCTTTACATCTTCTGTCCTGAAAGCTTCCTTAGTCTATTTTAGGTCTCAAGTTTATGCCCTCTTCCATGCTATCCCTTAAGGAATGCATTCCCACTTCTGTGCCCCCAACAGCATCTCTCCTCTTTCAGCTGCCTCCTTAGAGCCCGCCTTTGAAAAGTTCTCCTATACCGATTCCTTCCCCAGCAATGCCTCTGTGCACCCCCAAGCTGCTGATCCACACATCTTATTTGTCTGATTTTGATTGCAAACTCCTCAGGCAAAGGACCTTGGCATTCTGTGTTCTGCAAAGCAGTGTGGTCAGCTGTGACACTGTATAAATATATTGCAGCTCTAGACTCTACATCAGTGGTGGGCAACCTGTGGCCCATACGTGGCCTGTCAGGGTAATCAGCTGGCAGGCCGGGAGACAGTTTGTTTACATTGACTGTCCGCAGGCATGGCCGCCTGCATCTCCCAGGAGCCACGGTTCACCGGTCCCGGCCAATGGGCGCTGCGGGTTGCACACCACTACTCTACATCAATTCAGATTGCTGGCATGTGGGGATGTGTGGTTGATGGCCTCACAGGTCAGTAGTGGAGGAATCCATTGTTGTGATGCATCCACTGACAGCATTTGAAAAGGGGTTATGGTCACACCTCCTATTTTACCAAGTCCTTCTCTTTTCTTCTCTTGCAGGAAAATGCCTTGGGATTATTGGACGAGGAAGAAGTAGAATAAACTTGAGCAGATTCACTCGCCAGGGTATGCTGTAGCTTTACAACAATCCAATGCCAGAGTGATTTTTGAAAGGGGAGGGTAGAAGAGGAGAATGCTGTGACTTGAAGGTCCCCAAGGGAAGGAAGTTTGATCACTCTTCTCGAAGCCTTCTGTTAAGGTGGAAATGTTAATCAATGTGTAGGAGAACAAGACTAGCTACTTTTCTCAGTGAGCAAACACCTCACTGGCCATAGAGTGCCACCTTGTGGCTTATGGCTAACATGACTTCAGATGCCTTTTTAAACATTTTAATGGATGTATCTTCAAATACCACAGTGTGTAATCCACGCCAAGAAACACCTGAGTGTAACTGAGCTACAGCTGCAAGGCCAGATTTTCATGTGCTCTGAACCCACTGATGGGGCCAGATTTTCCCACAGAGCTCAGCATGTTAAGTGCCGCAAGTGCTTTTCAGAAGCTGGCCCTTAATGCCATCATCTCACCACTTAAAATCATATTGGCTCCTGCTCATGCAGTATACAGGGCTGTCAACTCTCTCTCCATCTCCCTATCCAGGTGGATCCCATGAATGAACGATCCGATTGATTTCAGTAGAAGGGTTTAGGGTTGTTTAGGGAGAGGGGGAGGACTAGGAGATGAGGAAGGCTACTCTTGTCAGACTCTTAACTCTTTACTTTCATTGTCTTCTTCTCTACATAGACCAACCACTGACCCCTTTGCACAGGTATTTTTAATTTGGCCTAGCTCTACTATATTTTTATTTATCTGGAGCCATATTGTCCTCTTAAGCATTAATTTGGCTAGTAGTCCAGAAAATACTAGTATTGGGAAGGCTACATAATTCACAGAATTTAACTTGTCTTTTGAATAGTAAGGAAAATTAGCCTGGAGAAAGAGAGATGCTTCCCGTTAAAAGGTAGATTAGAAAAACTTCTGATGAAACATTCAGTAACCAGAATTGGAACTTTGACCATTGAGAATGAGCAATACACTTATGCCTTCTGCCTCCAACCATTGTATTGGAGAGAATAAATTACATTGGTGTGTCATTTAGACTACAACTGCCAGTGAAACCATTCCCAATACTGTTCCTTGAGTTGTAGCCCACGTGGCCGATATTTTTTTAACTGGAAAGAGAAGGAATTTGGAACACTGGCAGAAGTTGCAAAATCCTGGAGTTCCATGCATAACTCTCCATGGGCAAATGGTTACACTTCATTAAAAGACTCTACCTTTTTTCTGAGATGTCCTTGCATTATATCTCCTCATTCTCCATTCAATGTATTCACAAGAGATGCTGTAAATGTTGAGTGGAGGAAAGAACATGCTAACTTCTACACATCCAATTAATCTGAATTAAAGGCACAGGAAGAGTTTAAATTCTCCATTTAAAATATGCCAGTCTTTCAGCGATAACTAGGAATCAGCAGGGATCAAGTATCTTTCTAATAAATTATTTAAATTAAGCTTGAAGAGGTGGTGTGTAACAAACTCTGGCTCTAGCCTCGGCTACACATGGCCTCAAAGTGACTGAGTGCTTAATTTGACACAGCTTAAAGGGACCTGTCAGAGGGTTTTGCCATTTTCTCACAATCAGTCCCCCCACCCCTGCCTTTGTGGCATCTCAGAGTGGGCACTCCAACTCATTAGTCACGTCTGATGAGTTAGGCCATAGACATAGATCACCTAATATATGGTGTATGCTTGACAACTATCCACCCACATTTCCCTCTTTCCTTCTAGCTTCCATTTTACACACCCCTCCACCGCCACCCCCACCCCACACATTCAAAGGTGTTTTATACAGAAGAGATTAGATTATGCCCATCATGTTGCGGCATACGTCACCCCTGTTGCTACATGCTGCAAATGCTGAGGCACAGCTTGAATCATAAATGTCAAGGAAGAGCCATGACAGTTTCAAAACAAGAATCACTGAGCCTGTTACAGGGCTAGCTCTTCAGCTGCCATGAATGGGCCATATTTTCCCATATACACCAGTTGGAGATCAGGTCCCCCCATGTTGGACTATAAAAACTCTGCTGTTTCGGACTGCGAGAGGTGGCCTCTGTTACTCCCATGTGGTCTGGGGGATGTTGGTGGTGCAAAGTGAGGTAGTTGCTGTCCTATTATGAGCTTGATTCAGGCAATGAGCTGATGGGGTTAAATTCCACACTCAAGCAAGCATGCACAACTCCATTGCCATCAGTGAGGTTATGCTAGAGCTGTAGTTGGCCTAGTGTGTTTCAGCCAATTAAAGACCAGTTTGTTATGAAATAAGGTGGATTCTGACTGGGGGAAGCTGTATTTATTTTCCCTAGCTTGAATCACAGTGCACCGTTCAGGGTCCAGACAGTGCTGGTTTTAACATGCTGCAAATGGAGTAGCAGTACTGGATCCACAGCCCTCTTCTGTTGTGGTGCTGCTAGTGAGTTAATTGCTCACCGAGATGGACGTTGGCTTGAATGTAACAGTGAAAATTAGCAGCTGCTTTTTATTTTGCTCAGTGTGAGTGGACTGCGCTGAGAGGGATTTTTCCTCCAGTAGCAGGAGGGATCAATGCAGAACCTCAGTCAAGTGAGCTGTTTCTTATTTAAACATTCTTTCATTTTTCATACATCACAGTTACTCTTCAAGTGCAACCTACTTCTACAGCAGCGCTCAGTCAGAACCCTTGGCCTGAGCTGATGGCCTTGGTGTGCTGTAGGGGAGCGTGCACACTTGTCCACCACTCTTGTAATGGCAGGTAATTGCATTCATTGCAAAATCTCATTGCTGGGCCAAACACTAGTTATCCATGATGAATAAAAGAGTGCAATAAATGTACTTGTGTTTTCTGCAGTGAGGCAGCTGACAGTCACCCTGTTCTTCACCACCACCTCTAACCCTACCCAAGGACCTGTATTCCAGTCTTTATAGAGGGGGAACCTTTCTGGATCTTATCACTGAGGGATTTTTGTTGCATCCAACTGTCCCTTGTGGGATGGTTGCTGGTGTGGGTTGAACTAGAGCAGGATTATGCTACTTGTTATAGCAACAAGTCCAGCTTTAAAATGGGGCTGAGCTCTGAGGTGTTCAAGTTGCAAAAGCCAGGTTTAGAAATGAGCACAGCTGTTGCCAAGATGATTTTTGTTTAACAAACATAGCCTGTAGATCTCCCTCGGGGGGCTACATCATCAAATGGCTTCCCAAGCCCTACAGAGTAATAACTTGAGCTCTTGTGATCACCCCAGGCTAACCCAGGTATCCCCTCTAAGAGGCTATGTGGACTGAACCACCCTCAGCAAATGAAACCTACCATTATCTCCAGTCCCTGAAGCTGACATCTCCTAGCTCTGCTTGCCCTTGCTTGCTGGGCAGGTGACACACAGAGAAAGTAGACTGAGTTTGCCAACTTACCCTCTGTGCTGGATTTTCTACTGCACTGCTGTGCAATCTGCATGCAGGTGCTGGTCCCTGCTCAGTGGCTCTGGTGACTGCTGCACCAGCCTGTGGTCAATAGGAGGTGCTGAAGAGGTACCTCAGAACTGTCACCTGAGAGCAAGCATTTCACCTCTCCATTATGTACCACTATAATTTTCAGAGGGCCTAAGCGTGCCCAGTTCTGAGAGCAATGGGCACTAAGTATCTCTGAAAAACATGCAATTAGGCTCCTGAGGTGCTATCTATGCAATCTGGGGCCCTGTGCTCCAAAATTTGGTATCTGCATAACATCATGTGATCACACCTCTCCTACCCACCCATCTCCTCCTTTGTGGGCGGAGAGCTCTCCTCATGTTTCAGTGGTTGGCAAAGCAGCAGGATAAAAAAAGAGAATGCTAATGAGTTAGTGGGGGGGAAGACACTCAATAGACACCATTGTCTGAAAAGGGGATGTACTGGCTAGACCTAGTTTCATAGAAAGGCTCATGATCTGGAACAAGTGTTAAAAGTTCACAGCTAATTCAGAGTGAGTGTGAGACACACAACTTCCCGCACCTGCATCAATCCAGCTGTGAGCATTAAAGCTGCTTTGTGTATGTGATGTGCTATACATTGCAATTACATCAAAAGCACAATGGGGGGAAGGGGAACCTTAGCCTGACTGGGGTTACTGTAATAAAAATATTAAATACTAATCAACCAAAGCTCGAGTGGGGGAGACCAAAAGTGCAGCTTTCTTCCACATCTTCTGACTTTCTCACAGTGGGCACAAGCTGCAGCCAGAACTGAAGGAATTGCACTACTCAGCTGTGGACAGTCACCCATGAATAGTCTCATTTTCTGTAGTGTTTAATGCCCCTAAAGCAGAGGGTGGGCAAACTATGCGGCTCGGCCCTGTTCCGGCCAGGGTGCTGGGGGGGGGCCCGCACCAGCCATGGCATGGCCCCGCTTTGGCTCCTACGTGCTCCAATGGGAGCCTGCGGATGGGGCAGAGTGCAGAGCCACCTGGCCATGCCGCCACGTAAGAGCCAGAAAAGGGACATGCCACTGCTTCTGGGAGCCACTTGAGGTAAGCACCGCTCGGAGTGCCTGCACCCCTGAGCCTCTCCCCATGCCCCAACCCACTCCTGCTCTCCAAACCTCTCGATCCCAGCCTGGAGCACCCTCCTACACCCCAAACTCCTCATCCCCAGCCCCACCCCAGAACCTGCACCCCAACTCCCTGCCCTCCAAACCCCTTGGTCCCAGCCCAGAGCACCCTCCTGCACCCTAAATTCATCTCCAGCCCCACCCCAGAGCCCACACCCCAACTCCAATTTTGTGAGCATTCATGGCCCACCATACAATTTTTATTCCCCGATGTGGCCCTCAGGCCAAAAAGTTTGCCCACCCCTGCACTAAAGAGTGTGAGTGGCAGCATTGATGCTGAAGAAGTGCATTCCCACTTGACCTAGCACCATCTCCTATAATGGCCCTGCTATGCCTCACCCACAGGAGTGGTGGGAAATATCACAAATGTTGTTCTGGCTATTTGGATAGCGCAGAAAGGGCTGGATTGCAAGTGTCTCTAGGTCAGGCCTGCACAACTCATAAAGCGGCAAGGGCCATATTACTCCAAAGAAAACAGCTGAGGGCAGAAACCCCCCCGGCCCCACCGAACCCCAGCGCCCCCGAAACACAACCCCACCCCAGCGCTGCCCCTCCCGTGGAAACAAACCCTCCTTCTCCAGCGCCGCCCCACCAAAACAGCGGTATTGAACCTTTGTAATATGTTATAGCGGGCTCCTAAGGTAGTGTAATTAAGGTAAAAGAAAAATGTCTTTTTGCTAGAAGTAGAATAAGATCTTCCCCCCACTTTGTGATCAATTGCCCTGTTGAATGAATGAGGTGTGAATGAGGAAGGTGTGGAAGGCAGGCACCTCCAGACAGCTGCAA